TGACCTACTTGCTCCCACTGGGCTTCACCTCTTGGAGGGTCCACCACCTCTTGACACTGGCATACTGGGGACCAGGCTTCTGAGACAATGTACCCTTGGGGACAACTACAACCAAACTGTAGCAATGTGAGGGACGGCCAGAGAGAAAGCTGGTAGAAGACGGGAGAGCAGTGGGCGGCCCCGGGCAGGCTGGAGAGCGCTATCCTGAAGGCTGGAACCCTGTTCCCCAGCGCACGCTCCAGAGGCCCCCGCAGGTGTGTGGGCAGCTCACGGCTGCGCTGCTCCTGCCTGGGGAACAGCCCGACGTCTGGACCGAGTAGGGGCTGCTCCTAGGGGGAATATTTATTTCACAGGAGTGAAAACAAACAGGCCAGAACTCCATGTGTCCACGTGGACAATCCCCCAAACAATGTCAACTGACAAGGTCTACAGCAAAACACTCCCCGGTGTTGGAGTGACATCCACAGGGAGTCAAATTTAGCCCCACGTGAGGAAGGAGTGGGCTCCAGGCTCAGCAGAGCGGGAGGGCGGGCTGGATGGAGACCAAGGGCGGAGCCCGGGCTGCGTCTGCAGCGCCTTCTGTCTTAAGCACCGAGACTACATGAAGGAGGCGTCCGTTGGGTTTTCCCTGGTACATTTTCATATGCAGGAGACATTTTGTAAAAAAAAAAAAATTTGAAAGAAAGAAAAAAGAGTCACTGTAAGGGAGATGAACTTAGAGCCATCAGAGAAGGTCACTTCCAGTGTCCACCCATCATGGCTGAACAGTGGGCGTCCAAGCCAGCATCGTCTGGGCTCCTAGGCGGGCAGATTCCTGAGTAGCTCAGTGCTTAGCTGTTAAGAGCAGCTGCCTGTTGAGAGCCACAGCCAAAGGGGCCCCAGCAAACTTTCAGACTGCCAGCTGATGATTGGCTCACAGCGCCCCAGCAACTTCTAGCTGATTGGCTCCTCTGCGGTGATGCTCATTGGGCTGTTTCCCCGCCCTTTCAGACCACGGAGCTGCTCATTGGGGGACTTTTTTTTGGCTCCACCCACTGGACCCAGCCAAATGGCATCAAGAGCAGGAGGAGTCGGGGAGGTGGAGAGGCTTGGGGGAAGCCGGTGGTGGCAGTTGGGCTCTGAGGGGTTTTCCTGAGGAGCTGTTTTGTTTGGCTTGTGTGGTTCTAAAAATAAAGTTCGTTTCTTTTGACAAGTGGCTCCTGAATGGTGCCCAGCCAGACTGCGGCAGCTGCCTGGCTCCGCAGGAAAGATTCTCACGGGGAACTTGACATTGGTTCCGTCCCCATAGTTCTCACTAAGGGCACACAAATTATCCTCTCTTACTGCTTGAGCGTCCCTCAGATCTGTAGGTTGAACCCCTCCTAATCCCAGTGTGATGTTGTTTGGACCTGGGAGGTAGGAGGTCACCATGGTGGGGTCCTCTTGAACGGGATTAGTGCCCTGGTAAGAAGAGCCAGAGTCAGTAGCTGTCTTCTGCCATCTGCGACGGGAAGGGCCCACAACAGAACCCACGTGTGCTCACACCCTGATCTCAGATTCCAGCCCCCACAACTGCCAGAAATAATGTCCACTGTTGACAGGCTGCTGAGTTCCTGGCATTTTGTCATAGCAGCCCGAGCTGACGGACACCTTCTGTTGTGGCCTTATGCAGAGGCAGAGGGAGCTGGTACATCTGGCAGCTTCAACGTGTGCCTGAGCTCCAAAACCAGGATTTGGACTCGTGTTCCTGGTGTGGGGCTCTTGGAGCCACGGAGTGGAGGGGCGGGACTGTGCAGATGGGCATCCAGGGGTCAGCTGGCTCTTGTGGTAGCTGGTGTGCACGAGGAAAGGCATCCCTGCCACAAGATGGCTCCAAATTGCTGAGCCAAACCTCCCAGCCGCTCACGTGGGCATTGGGACTCCTGTGTCTGGCCACCCAGACGGTAGAGGATCCAGTTGGAGCAGTGCTAGCTGCTGTCTTCGGTTACACAACCTTCCCCACTTCAAAGCTCTTCTGATGTCCACAGCTATGGTTGTCTATGTCTATGAGTCCCAGCTGAGTTGGCTGAGTGACCTGGTCAGGTAGACATGGCCACCCAGGCAGGACACAGGGGAACTTTGGGCCACGCCCACATAGCTAGTAAGTTGCAGCAATGGACGCTTCTGCCAGATTTTAAAACTCCACTGCCTTTTCTTCACTCTGTCCCTCCCCAACCTCCTCTGTGGCACTGGGGATTGAACTTGGGTCATTTACCACCAAACTACATTCCCAGTCCTTTAAAAATTTATTTTACTTTATTTTTGAGACAGGGTCTCACTAAATTTTTGAGGTTCCTGCTAATTTGCCCAGGCTGGCCTTGAACTTGGGATCCTCCTGCCCCGACCTTCTGAGTCACTGAGGTCACAGGTATGGTCAGGCGCCCGGCCCTTTACCTTTCAATCAACCTTATCATCTTAGAAACAAAGTCAGCACAGTTAACCACCCCCTCTCCCCTCGGAACTGTTTCTTGGGTGTAGGTGTTCAGGAAAATCAGCTGACCCAAGATACCACTGTCCCCAGTTACAAAATACTGCACTCGGCTTAAAGTTGCCAAGCGCGTTCTCCCGCAGGGACCGGAGCCTTGCTGTGGAGGGCGTGGGCAGCAGGGGGCGCCGGTGCTCTTCCCGCCGCGCTGCCTCACGACCTTGGAGCGCAAACCAGAGACCAGGAGCCGGTGGGTGGGCCTGGGTGGGCCTGGGTAGGCCCTAGCCTTGGGAGTCACAGATGAGGGGCGGGCGCAAGAGGCCCCCTTGCACGCGCTCTCTAGGACCCCCGTGGCATGTATCACAGATGCCTGTCACCACTGCCAGATGAAGGATGGGGGTGGGGATTCCGAGGTCTCTTATGAAGCCAAGGGCAGCCTGGATGGTCCCCATGGATGTTCCCTCTAGGGGACAGGCTTGTCACTCCCTGTGGGCTCCTTGTCCCTGTCAAGAGGCGTTGGAAGGCTCCAGGGATTGCAGGAGGTTCCAGGGGGTGTGATGGGCTGCACGGGTGGAAGTGAGTCAGGGAGGAGGCTGGGGCAGCTGCGGATGGGGGGCGCCCTTCTGCCGGGTCCCCTGGGGAATGAAAGGGCTATCAGCTCCCCCTAAGAGCACATCCTAAGGGAAGGATGGGGGATGGGAAAGGAGAAGGGGCCGTGCAGTGTTTTAATCTGAAAAGTGGCTTGCTGTTTTAGTGACATTAATAACACAGGGACCGCCAGGACAGTAATGCTAATTGTTCAAAAAATGTAAATCAAATCAAACCACCTAGTGAGACTCCTTCAACGGTCCTCCACTGCGTTTAGAGGACAGTACAAACTCCTGCTCAGGCTCAGTGAGTCGTTTCTGCACCTGGCCTTTGCTGCTTCATATCATGTGGCCCCCCATCCCCTGCAGCCCCTTCCCCTGCACCCTCCCTGTGCCCTGCTGCAGCCACAGGCAGCTCCCTTCTCTGCCTTCCATATGGAAGGCAAGTTTCCCCAGCTCCTCAGGACCTTTGCACGTGCCCCTCTGGGATGGGCAGCCTCCTGCTAGGATCAGCTCTTTCTCCCTCTGCAGTGAAGTCCTAACCACGTACCCAACAGAACCCCTGTTGCTGCACTTCCCCTTGGCCCTTTCCCAGTCCTGTTCTGGCCTCTGCCTCTGTCTTTACCTGGGGGGTTAGGGTTAGGGTTAGCCCCCAGGAGGGGAGGGGAGGGAGGAGCTTTGCCTTCCTCTCCCAGGACCTGCCTTGAACAGTTGCATGACCATGTGGGCTGCCTTCACGGCAGGAGAAGATGCTGGGGACACTGTGGCACTCAGGACTGCCACGTTCCTTCAGCTCGGGAGGCCTTGGCAGGCGTGTACCCTCTGATCGCCTTCAAGGCACAAGAGGGCGCTTTAAGCCTGGCCGTGAAGAGGGGCCAGCAGAACCTTGAATTTCTCCCCTCCTCTTGCTCTCAGACCTGGAAGGGAGGGGACAGCAGGACAGGTCCCACAGGAGCTCAGCAGGGGGCTCTGTTCTCCCCAGGGGTGGGCCAGCAGTCAATGGCCTCCTCCCCGGTGGAGGAAGGGGACTCTCGCTGCCTTTCTGACAGCAGCAGCTGCCCCTGTGTGCCAGGTCTGCCTGATGGTCTCAGCCACGTGCGCTGGACCTCCTCGGCTGGAGAGGGTGCAGAGGAGGCATGCGAAGGTGCCAGGCTAGGGTTGGCCAGCCAGCTCCTGGAGGCAGAATGGGTTTGACATTGTGGAAGGGCTGTTTACACACTCACTCTCTCATACACACATTTGTTGGCGGGAATTGAACCCAGGGCCTTGCACCTGCTAAGCGCATGCTCTACCACTGCGCTGCGCCCCAGCCATCGTAATGCAGCTCACACCCAGGAGGCAGGACGCTTCCTCCTTGGATTTCCCCTCAGAACTGAACTGCTTTGGCTGTGTGTGTGTGTGTGTGTGTGTGTGTGTGTGTTGTGTGAGTGGGAGGTGGTGGGGATATTGTCTAGAAGCTTTAGAATTTTGTTTTTTGTTTCTATGAAGAATGTCATTGGGAATTCAATAGGGATTATGTGGAGTCTGTTGCTTTGGGTCATAGGGACACTTGAACAATATTAATTCTTTTGATCCATTAGTATGTTAATTTTTTCATCAATGTTTTATGGTTTTCAATGTGTAGGCCTTTCACCTCTTTGTTAATTTATTCCTAATTAATCAGCTTTTTATGCTATCATACATGGGTTTGTTTTCTCTTTTTTTGTCTAGGTAGTTATTTGTATATAGAAATGTCAAAGATCTTTATATGTTGATTTTATATCCTGAAATTTTATGAATTCAGTTATTAGATTTAACTTTCTCTGTGTGTATGTGTGTGTGTGTGTGTGTGTGTACTCCTTGGGGTCTTCCTCGTATGACCACGTCACCTGCAGGTAAAAGGGATTTATTTCTTGCTTTCCAAGTGGCTCTCTTTCCCTGTCTAACTGCTCCTGATGACGACTCTTGTACTCTGTTGAACAGAAGTGGTGAGAGCATGTCCTTGCCTCGTGCTGACCTGAGGAATAAGCTTCCAGTTTCTCCCTTTGTTCACCATGTCACCGTGGGTATGACACTGACACACGTGGGCACATTCACACCGCAGTGTGGGCCTGGGGCGAGTGGGTGGTGGGAGCACAAAGGGAGTGGCCCCTCCTTGGAGTCCTGGGAAGGACCGTGCGTTGGTACAAGTTGACAGGTGAGTGGGACTCCAGGAAAGAGAGGGAAGGACATTTAGACAGGAAAGAGAGCATGCGCAGGCGCAGGGCCGGGAAGAGAGCATGCGCAGGCGCAGGGCCGGGAAGAGAGCATGCGCAGGCGCAGGGCCGGGAAGAGCTGGGCTGGGGGAAGACAGGGACCCCGGGTGGTGGAGATGGGCTCTACTGAGGCGGGAAGGCTGGTGGCCAGAGGTGGGTGGGGCACATAGGTGGAGGCCAGGTGGTGAAGACCACATAAGGCATCTGGAGTTAATGAGTCTAGTTCTGTTGGTTGGGTTAATAATTATTAATGTGGATCAGGATGAATCCTGGGAACACGAAGGGCAGAGCATTGGCTGGATGGGCCCCGGGAAGACAGCACTGCCCAGAAGCTGCTGGAAGCTCTGGCAGCCATGCAGGCAGAAAGCAGGGAGGATCTGAGTTAGAGAGGGGCAGAGGTGACAGACAGAAGGGGTGGCTGTGGACCCACCTCGGGGTAATGGAACATCAAGGCTTCTGTTGGTTGGGGACTACGTGGCCCTATCATCAGCTCACAGTTCTTCCCGGCTCCCCTGCTCCATTGCCTGGCTTCCCTGTGGACAGAGGAGAGCTCTTGTTTACTCACGTGACCCACAAGTCTGAGGGCTGGAACAGAGTTCCCGCACTCCCTGCCTGACCAGAGGCTCTGAGTGAATTGCGGTTGGGTGGCCCTATTGGCTCCCTTCTGTGCCAGGAGAAGAGCAACTCCAGGGGGCGCTGGCCTGGGAAGAGAGAGACTTGGAGCCAACAGAACCTGATCTGCAGCTGAGGCAAAGCTTCCCAGCTCACTGTGGTAGTCAGCAAGAAATAGCTGTTTGCTGTTTTAGGCTGCTGAAATCCTGGGGCTGTTTGTTAGGTAGCATCATGGTAGCAAAACCTAACAAATACACCCACTTGGATTTCTTTTCTTTTCCCCCCCCCCCCCCCCCCCCCCCTCTTTCTTCCCCTTTTTTTTTTTTTTTTTTTTTTGTTACCAGGGATTGAATTCAGGGGCACTCAACTACTATGCCACATCCCTAGTCCTTTTTATATTTTAGAGACAGAATCTTGCTGAGTTGTTTAGGGCCTTGCTAAGTTGCTGATCACTTTGAACTTGTGATCTTCCTGCCTCAGCTCCCGAGCTGCTGGGATTACAGGTGTGCACTACTGTGCCTGGCCACACTTGGATTTCTTAAGAGCAGCTTCTCATTTCTCCATTCTATCTCTGCATGGTGTAATAACAGTATCAATACTGCTTTACAGATCAGGCAACTGAAGCTCTAAGAGTTCAGTAACTCTGTCAAGTTTCCGCAGCTAAAATGTCAGAGAAGGATTTGAATCCAGGACTGTCTTGGAACCCCACCCTCCCGTCTGTCCACACAGTGCTACCTCATGAATAAACCAACTTCTGGAAGAGACATATTGACTGTCAGAAGCCTTGTTGCTCCTGAGTTGGGGAGAGGAAGGATCAGGGGCTGACCTTGTTATTTGAAGAGGGGGTGTTAGAACCACCACAGTGGGTCTGGGCTCAAGGCAATGCAGATTTCTGCCCAGCTTCCATCCTTTGAAGCTGGTGCATGGGTAGGACTGGGTCTGGGGGCTCAGAGGCATCTTGTAGCCAAGGAGTGGAGCTTTTCCTGCTGTAAAGCAGAGTTGAGTCTTTTGATCTCAGCAGCAGCAGCAGCATCGAAATCCTGGGCATTTTCCTACTGATTTTATCATTTGTCTCAGGGAAGCAAATCCCACTTAAAATATGTCTTCAGACAAAGGGAGATCAATGAGCTCAGACAGAAGACTATTTGCTGACCAGAGTAGGAAAACCGCCTTTGTGCTAAAATGTTCTACAAAAATCCTCTTAGTCCAATTTTGCAGAAACCAATGTGTGGAAGGACCATTTCCCACCCGTGTCCCCTGAGATCCGGGCTCTGCCTGGGATAAATAAAGAGGGGCTTATTAACCCTCTAGGTGGTTAGAATTCTGCCCAGGAGGCTGGCTCCTGAGGCTGGCTGGAGAGATGCCCCGGCTTCCAGCTGCTTTACCTCTGCCAGGCTCTTTAGACAACGTGGGAAAGAGCCCCGGTGAGACGGTGCAGCCAGTCCTGATGGGAAACCATGGCCCCATGACTCTGGAGCTCACTTTAGCACAGTCTCAGCAGCAGAGGGAAAATGCTGTCTCCAAGAGTGATGAGAAGCATGGTCTTTTGGATCACAGCTCTGGAAATTTGTATTACTCCCCAGGCAGCTTCATGCCTCTGAGCCTCTGCTTGCACCATTCCCTCCATTACAGGATTCTCCTGTATCTCCAAGGTCTAGACAGGGGTTGTGAGTCACAGCTCAGTTCCTAGCTCCAACAGTAATGTTGTGCAATTTGGAAGAGAAAGCCCTTGCTCGGTGTACTTTATCATCTCCTGCTGGAACTTTCCTGTAACCATTATGCAAACCTACCCTGGCCACGACATGTCATCCTGTACCCTCCCCCTATCAATGGGGCTTGTTGCATGAACGAGGGGATGGATTTCCGGGGTCAGAAGCATCTGAAGGCAAATGTAGAACTGTGTATGGAGCATGTGTGTACCTTTCTTGGCTGATTAAATCCTCTGTCCATTGATTTCACAGCACTGGGCAGATTCCCCTCCTCCGCTCATCTACCAGTGAAGATTTGTCAGGCACCCAATCTTTGTATTGGAGCAAAGAACCAAGACATGGAGACAGTTTCTTGATTCAAGGAGCAAGTGCCTGGAGGGCCAGCAGCCCTGCAGTGAGTGGTGAGATGCAGATACAGTGTCACCGTAGCTGCCACGTGAGCCAGCCCCCGCCCCCTGCTCAGCACTCCTGCTTGGTCCAGAAGAGGTGATTGCCATAAATCCCAGAGGACGCAGAGCCCGATCCCTGTGGCAGTCTCCAAGCAGTGTCGTGTCCAGCACCGAGAGGTAATTTCCAAACCCAAGCTCTTTGCTTGCTTCTGTGGGTGCAGTGGGGCTTCCTGCTCCTGGTCCCTCCTGCTCTCCTATCAACCTCTCCCATAGCTCCCATAGCCTCACCTCTTTCACAGTCTTCCCTGGAAAAACACTGTCCCACTTTTTGACCCTTTCCTCACCTCACTGTCTCTACTGTGAAGATACACAGGGTCTCTTCCTTCTGGGACCCTTCTTTCCTCCTCTAGCCTCCAATAAAGCATCAACTCTGGGACTTGTCCACACAAAAGCCAGGGGAGAATCCTCCCTGGAGAGCAGCCGGGGGCAAGGTGTGGCACAGGTGTCGAGCAGGGAAGGAGGGAAGCTCAGAACACCTGTGATAGGGTCTGTTAGTCTCATCACATTCACCACTTCAACTACCACCATTCCCCATTTCCAGATGAGAAAACTGAGGCCAGGAGAGACCACATCATGTTCCCAGGACCCCAAAGCTGGGAAGTACCTGTTCTTCCTGCCTGCCATATCTTTCCTTCTCTGTCTTCTTCTTTGCCTACTTCACCTGTGACGCAAATGCAAAGAGAAACTACTCCAGGGAGGTTTTCACCAAACATCTTGTCTTGGCTGGCCCCCTCCTAGTGTGCCCTTATTTAACACTTTAAACTTGCTCCATAGCAGGCATCACAGTTGAAATTGTATGTTTCCTTGGATGATCCTTAGGTTAACATCTATCTTTAGCATCAGATTGCAAACTTCTAGAGGAAAGGAAAGTCATATCTATACCTCTCTCTGTATATACCCAGTGTGTAAATGGCATCTGAAATATAGTAAGTGCTCAATAAATATGTGCTGAATGCAAGAATGAATAGCCAAACTTCAAACCCCTGTCTCAAAAGTCCCAGTTCATCTCCTGCACCACAAGTTAGTGTTGTTCAGGAAGACAGAGGGGAAGCAGGTCATTTCAGGTTCTGGAATAACCACCCAGCCCATTTGGGGAAGTGCAAGTGAGTGATCAATTTTGCTTCTACTGCTGGTGCTGTCTCCACTGCAGGCTGCACGTGGAGCAGTGGCAGGAGAGAAGCAAGGGTGGTGGGAAAGGCATGGGCAAGATGTTGGAAAGATCTTGCATGCCTGGCCGGGGCTGGGACTCTCAGGGACACGGTCACAGCCAGGTTTTAGAAACAGCACCCTACCTGTGGTTCAGTGGTGGGTGGTCAGAGAATCAGGGCTGGAGGCTAAGATGGTGTCACTGTAATACAGGGCACAGAAGTCCCAGTCCTGCACAGGCGGCAATGCTAGAGAGGAGAGACCGGAGGAAGCATGGCTCTCCAGTTTCAGTTCAGTCACCCTGACAGCTGTCTTGCCGTGTCCAGCTGCAGGAAGCACTGAGAGGGAGGGGGGCTGCGGTGTTCAAGGCTGAGAATCTGGGGCACCTGCAGGTGCTGGTCCAGCGGCAGAGGGGGCAGCGGCAGGTGTGGTGGGAGGGAGGGGATGAGAAGCTCCTGTCCTGCTTGCAGACCTCACATGCTGCAGGTGTGTGTCCCAGGAGCAGGCTGCTCCCATCCACCTCCCTCCCTGCAGCTCAGCTGAGCTCACACCAGCAGCCAGACTGGAGTGGTTCCCAGTGGGCCTTGTCCTCTGGGAGGTGCTCTGAGGGCTCCGAAGTCTGCTGTCTCTCTTCACTCTTCCTCCACCTGCTTTCCCCAACTGCTTAGACTTTGAAACACCTTTCCAGGACTCAGTTTCCTTTCCTGAAAATCGCTGAGATTTTTTTTTTTTTTTAATCTATCCCTCCCAAGATTAAAACAAGAAGAGAATGTGAAAGTGCCCTCAGGAGGCAGCTCCAGCCTTTGGGGAGGGTCCTCCCCTCCCTTTTCTTCTGAGTTCAGTTAAAATCATTTTTTAAAGGAAAAATCACTCACAGGTTGGAAGTGGTGGGGAAAGGGCCTCCCTTCAAGGGGTCAGGGAAGCAATTTCGGAGGAGCAGGGTGGTCCAGGAGATGCTGTAGGAACTGGTGCCTTTTCCTGGATGGTGTCCCTGGGTCCTGACACGTGCAGAGATGTAGGAATAATTCTCTCACGTTTGCTGATGAAGAAACCAAGGCCAGGTGAAGTTAGACGGGGCGCTCAAGGTCGTGCAGCCAGGAATAAGTCTGGATTTGGGGCTCAGGTCAGTGAGAAATCCAACGCGGCCTTCTTCACCCTACAAAGCTTCCCCATCCCCCCACCCAGCTTCCCAAACTTGGCCAGGGCTGGGACCGCAGGCTGGGCCAGGCCAGGCACCTTCCCTGGCTCCGGCGAGGTCTGGCACTGGCGCACCTCTCAGAGTGTGGGCTGCCCCTGGGCTCCGGCAGACGGAGCGAAGAGAATTAGAAAGCTAGGGCCCAGGTGGGGCGGGAGCGGGGAAAGGAGCGCGCGGCGAAGGGCGGGAGCGCGGGACCCGGAGCTGCGCGGGACGGCGGGCGGCAGAGCTCCTGCGCTCTCCCTGCGCCCGTGGCTCCCGGCCCCCGCCCCTCGGTGGCGGCTCGCTCATCCCTCCCCCGGCTCCGAACCAGACACGGCCGCTGTTGCCACCGCCACCCGGCGCTCTGTAGGCTCTTGGAAACAGCCCTTGCCGCCCGCGGGCACCAGACGCTTTCTGCCCCAGCTCCGGGACTGAAGGGCTCAAGGCGTCCACCGCTCCGGGTCCCGGCGCAGTGCACGGTGAGCGCTCCTCGGGGCTCAGGGGTCTCTGGGCTGCGGGTCCTGGGGCACCCCTTGGGGTGCCCGATGGGGCCTCCTGGGGGACACAGGGCTGAAGTTGTAACCACGCTTAGCTTGCCGCTGCCCCCAAGCCAGACATGCTGCCTCCTGGGCGCAATGGCACCGCGTACTGGGCTCGGTTCAGGCTGCAGCAGCAACTGGTTCAGGGGGGCGCCTTGGGCGGCTCAGCTGGGGCCGCGCCCCTGGGACCATTGCAGGTGGTCACCGCCGGCCTCCTGACACTCCTCATTGTCTGGACCCTGTTTGGCAACGTGCTGGTCTGCGCCGCCATCGTGCGCAGTCGCCACCTGCGTGCCAAGATGACCAACGTTTTCATCGTGTCTCTGGCAGTGTCCGACCTCTTTGTGGCACTGCTGGTCATGCCCTGGAAGGCAGTCGCCGAGGTGGCTGGTTACTGGCCTTTTGGGGCATTCTGCGACGTCTGGGTGGCCTTTGACATCATGTGCTCTACGGCCTCCATCCTGAACTTGTGCATCATCAGTGTGGACCGCTACTGGGCCATCTCTAGGCCCTTCCGCTATGAGCGCAAGATGACCCAGACCGTGGCCTTAGTCATGGTGGGTCTGGCTTGGACCTTGTCCATCCTCATCTCCTTCATTCCAGTCCAGTTCAACTGGCACAGAGACAAGTCGGGCTCCCGGGGCCAGGAGGACCTTCCATCCAACCTGGCCAATGGGACGCCCTGGGAGGAAGCCGGGGAGCCCAATGCGAGGGCAGAGAACTGTGACTCCAGCCTGAACCGAACCTACGCCATCTCCTCCTCACTCATCAGCTTCTACATCCCTGTGGCCATCATGATTGTGACCTACACGCGCATCTACCGTATCGCGCAGGTGCAGATCCGCAGGATCTCCTCCTTGGAGAGGGCCGCGGAGCATGCGCAGAGCTGCAGGAGCAGAGCCCCAGGAGAACCCGACACCAACCTGCGGGCTTCCATCAAGAAGGAGACCAAGGTCCTCAAGACCCTGTCTGTGATCATGGGGGTGTTCGTGTGCTGCTGGCTGCCCTTCTTCATCCTCAACTGCATGGTTCCCTTTTGCAACGGGGACCAGCAGGCCGGCTTCCCCTGTGTCAGCGAGACCACCTTCGATGTCTTTGTCTGGTTTGGCTGGGCCAACTCCTCACTCAACCCTATTATCTATGCCTTCAACGCTGACTTCCGGAAGGTGTTTGCACAGCTGCTGGGGTGCAGTCACCTCTGCTCCCGCACGCGTGTGGAGACGGTGAACATCAGCAATGAGCTCATCTCCTACAACCAAGACACGGTCTTCCACAAGGAGACTGTAGGGCCCTATATCCATATGATTCCCAATGCGGTGGCGCCCGGAGACAGGCAGGTGGACAACGAGGAGAAGGAGGAGGAGGGCCCTTTAGATCACTTATCTGGGACCTTTCAGACGCCCCCAGATGGTGATCCTGCTGCCGAATCTGTCTGTGATCTGGACTGCGAGGGGGAGATTTCATTAGGCAAAATAACACCTTTCACCCCAAATGGATTGCCTGAAACTGCATAAGAAGTGCCCCACAGACCTCTGTGAGCATACACTCTTGCTCATCATGTACACATTCTCAGCGCTGCTGGGTTCTTCACTGTTCTGTCTCTGTGTGCACATGCTTAGAAGCTCTGCCCTATTGATTCTTATCTGAAAGCATTGGCAGAAGCAGTGGGAATAATCTGGGTCAAATAGATCCAGCCTAGCACAGATGGACCAGAGGTCCTAGAAGAAAATGGGGAGCTGGTCCTTTAAAGATACACTCTCCCTTCCCCTTTCAAACAAAGAACTTGTTCAGTGATTATTTGGTTGGCTGAGTTTTAAACACATGTTCAGGGTGTGAGTGGTGATGCTGGGGTGCAGTGGGGTGTCTGCGTCTTGCTTCTCTGATCCTATGCTCCTGCAGGGTCTTTACTGAGGCCTCAGTGCTTCTGGTGTCTGATAAACACAAGGCATGTGTACGGTGGGGTGAATCCTGCTGCTTGGCAAGGCTGGTTTTCAGGACTGCCCCTGGAGATGCCATGGCATGCCCCCCCCCCCCCCAGAATTGGGATTTGAGTACACCCTTAAAAAGCACCAAAAATGTTTGCTGGGTGTAGAAGCGTGTATTTATTTTGACCTTAAATGAACACACAGGACAAAGAACCTTGAAGAGCTTCCGATTTCTTTTTGTTAGATGAACACGTTCCAAGTATGTATTGAAGGCTGGTTTCATAGCTACGGCATTAGATATGTGGACTTCTTAAGCCTGGGGCTCTGATTTTTTTTTCTCACTTGGCATTTTCTATTGAAAAGAACATAAGACATTTCTCCTGATTCCTAGATGGTGGCTGTCAGTTCACTGAAGGGGTCATCCGGGATAACAGCACTATTTTCCTCCATCTCTAATCTAGGGTGTGTTTTAAAAAGACGCGGCTTTTGGTACACTGTTTTCTGAAGGGCTTTGAGTGGTGTGAGTCAATACACTTTGAAAAAGAAATCCCACTGTTAAACAGACACGTTTACTTGCAGACGATAGTAAATAAGAGGATGCATTTTAACTGAGATGACATTGGAATGAATTTGAAATTGGAAAATCTGCAGGTTGAATTGCTCAGTAAAAGAGCTCAACTCACACCAATCTCTGCACTTCCCCCTGCAATGTGCAGAGCCAAGGCTTCTTACTCCAGCCCCGCTGCAGTGGAGGGCGTGTTATTGCCATTAGACTAAATGTAAAAACTGCTGATGGGAGCAAATGGAATGGGAATGGGTAGCTTCTCACAAGTCCTGGCTTTGAAGCAGCCTTGTCAAGGGCAGTTCGATCTGTTCTGGTCCCCTCAAGGATAATTTTGTTGTTGGTCTTCTGTGTCACCGTGTCTTGTTCACTGCAGAATGTGCAGTGCCTGGCGCATAATGCTTAATAAATATTTGTTGAATGAATAACTATTTCTGGAACAGTGCGATGGAAAGCAAAATCCCATTTGGCACATTCATTTCATATTTGATTTCATAAAACTGATACTGGAATCTGAAATCTGTTTGTTTTTTTGACATTTTATGAACAAATAGCTAAGCAAAACATCAGGGCCAGTGAATAGAACGCTGCTTTAGGATTAGGAGATGACTGTGTGACCTTGAGTGAGTCTGCTAAGCTCTCTGGGCCTCACTTTCTGTGTACCAGGGAGGCCTCTATGAGATCACCACGCTCTATGATGCTAATGTTCATGGGCAGGGTCTGTAGTGAAATAAACCCAGTAAACTCATATTCAGTGCCTGTTTACAGGGGGCCTTAGAGCATTTCCTAAGCATTACGAGTCCCCAAGTGGGGGAAGATTCTGCCTTGTTTCCCAGCATCTTTGACTTTGTGAATCCTCATTTGGTAGAATTCTGTCACTCTTTCTCTGGAGTCTGCAGTTCCAGGGAACACAGTTTAAAAACACCTATCTGGAATTGTCTAACATGCAGCCATTCTATTCTAAAGGAAAGATTGTCATGAACAGAATCTTTTAGGGCAAATGCCATTCTAGGCCCCTGTTTAAGTAAGTTCTGTGTTGGGGAAAATGCACCACGTGAGGACGTTGGAATTCCCTCTGTAAATATCATCCTCACGTCCTGTAATTATTTACATCTCCTGGATGCGTGCACTGCCTTGAATGCTGGACAGGCCTCTCATCAATCTCTCTGCATCTGGGAACTTGTGGGGAGCCACACCAATGAATCCAAGCTGCTGGATCCTGGGCGTGTTGTACTGCGCTCTACTGACCACCATGCGCAGCATCAGGCACCAGGAGATGGAGCCAGCAGGGTGGTCAGCTGCTTTTGTGTGAAGGGTGGCCAGGGAGGCCTCTCGGAGGGAATGGTGAAGGAAGTTGGGGCAAAGTCGGGGTTGGGCAGTGGCGGTGTCTGGGAGGCAGAGCAAGGCAGGAGAGGAAGGCGGTGCCAAGGCTGGAACTGGCTTGTGTTTTGCACAGCCCGAGAAGAGGAGGGTGACCAGAGTGGCGGTGAAGAGGGGAGTGTGCTGGGTTAACACAAATGACAGCAATAGGGACACTCACTCTGCACAGGCCCCACACATGCATTGATTTATTTGACCCTCATGACCCCACGCAGCAGTTTTGTTACCCATTTTACAGATGAGGATGCTTAATCATGGGCCTGTGGTCACCCTGCTCATAAGTGGCAGAGCTAGACTGAGCCCAGGGAGCCAGGCCCTAGGTTCTTAAATCCTAACTGCCCTTCGATGGTGAGAGAGGCTGCCAGGACCTCCCTAATCAGCAGATGCTCTAGTGCTCATTTTGTAACATCTGGCTGTTTGCACACTTGCATTAACTGGCTGATGGGTTCATTCCTACGTAGGTGCTAGCAGACCTTCATGTGTACCTGATCCAGGCTTGAAGGGAAGGCAGCTGAGGGTAGTGGGCAGAATAGCCGTGGAGCAAGCCTGACATGGAGGGGCCATGTGCTTTCTTGGATTCTTATCTGATCTTCACATTAACCTCACATGTTCTTATTATCTTTCCATTTTACGGACAGGGACTCTGAGGCACAGAAAGGTTATGTTGCTTGTTCAAGGTCATAGAGAAGTGGTGGAGCCAGTGTTTACATCTAGGCCAGTGTTTCTCAATTGGGGGCAATTGGGAATTTGCCCCCTCTCCCATGGTGACATCTGGTTATACCTGGAGACATTTTGGTTGTCCCAATTGGGTGAGGGTACTCCTGCCTTCTCATGGGCAGAGTCTAGAGATGCTGTAAGCATCCCATGGTGCACAGACAGCCCCTACAACAGCAAGTCATCTAGACCCAAAGGCACAGAGTGTCACGGTGCAGGGGCTTCAGCCCAGGCTGAGGGACTCCAGGTCCCAGTGCCCACCCAAGCTCACCCTACCTTGGCTTTGCAGCTCCCCACCCTAAGTTGGAATTTGAGCTCTGCCATTTATTGGTTGTCTGGATTTGGGCACCTCTCTGAGCTTCTGCTTCTATATCTGAGCAATGGGCACATGGATACCAGAGGCGCAGGTAATGCAGAGGTTATGTTGGTGTCATCCCATCCTCTTCTTGTAGAGAGCTCTGTGCCTTGGGGACTTCGAGGCCCCTGGTCCAGTTAGAGCTGCCTCCTAGCTAAGCTATCTATCCTGCCCAGCATCGCCTTCTCAGCTTGGAACCGTGTCTACACAGGGCAGTGCCCACTGAGTGCTAATTCTCTCTCTCTCTACATGTGTGGCCCCTATGTCCCCCAGTGCTGGGTGCTGTAATGAGGCAGTAACTCAGCGATTTGCTCAGCAAGTCTCAGTCTAGGTCAGCGCTGATCTGGGATCAGGAGGATGTACAGGGCTAAGGGTTCCCCAGGAAAGAAGTGCCATGAGCTGCAGCACAGGGGAGCCCGGGGTCCAGCAGGGAGGGGCCTCTACAGGATCCCCAGATGCTCAAATGCTGGGCGAGGCCATGCAGCCTGCCTGCTGGTTGGTTGAGTCAGTTGAGGTAGGGAGGGCCCCAGGGATGCCCCAAGGTCACCCTCCAGAGATACCAGACTGAATTTGAGTGTGCCTGCCTGTCATTCCTGCACCTTCTCACCACTTTTCCTTCTTCTTCTTTTTTTTTTTTAGATTTTTATTTTATTTATTTATTTATTTTTATTTTTTGTTTTAATTAGTTACACATGACAGTACAATGACCTTGACATATCATACATTTGAATCAGACGGGATATAATTTCTCATTTTTCTGAGTATACAGGTTGCAGAATCATATTGGCCATGCAGTCACATATACCACCTTTCCATCTTATTTGCCTGACTCTAGTCCTGGTGTATGTGATGACAGGAACAAACTGTCATTTTGAAAAAGTTCTGAGGCCAATTGGTGAGACAAAATGTGGCCGCTTTTGGGGGGGGGACCATTTTCTCCCAGGAATGGCAGAGGCTCCCCAGTCATCTCCACCTTGAGGAGGTCTCCCAGCCTGGTGGCTTCTTGGTGGCTGGACTTCCTGCACAATATCCCAGGGCTCCAGAGTACGTGTGGCTGAGGAGAAGCAGGTGGACCCTGGGTCTCCTTTCGTGACCTGACTTCCCCAGCCACACTCCCTCTTTAGAAGGGAGTCACCACATCCAGACCATGTTCAAGGGGGAGCGGATTGGACTTCACCTCTCTATGGGAAAAGCATCAAAGAATTGGCCAGGGAGATGCTTCATGCTGCCTCATTCAAAACATTTATTTGGATATAACCTCAGACTTGGAGAAAGGTTGCAAAATAGTATAAGGAACTCGTTGACCCAGCGTCCTCCAACATGAATATCTCACTTACTTCTCTCTTCCTCATCATCTAGGATGTGACACCTATTTCCCCGCGACATTGGGTGCACGTTGTCTGGAACCAGGGCACTCCCTATCTAACCTGCAGGCCTCCAGCAGCTCTCCTGCTAATCCCCCCACAGCAGGACAAGCCAAGCCTGAGGGGCGCGTTAAGTCACCGTGCTTCCTTCCCCCCTCAGTCTGAAACAGTTGCTGCCTCTTTGTCTTTCATGACGTTGACCTGTGAATAGTACCTCACCAGTCACTCGGTAGGGTGTCCTCAAGCTCGGGTGTCTGGTGCTTGGTCCTGGTTGGATTCTGACATGCGTGTGGAGCGGAACTCCCTTGGGAAGCTAGAAAGTCCCTCTCCAGTGTCATCACAGGAAACCGTGCTGTCAATTAGCCCATTAGTAGCAGTGCTCCCATTGTTCAGGGCGTGACTGTGGTGTCCCTGATCAATGCCCTGAGTAATGAATATGTATCCTTTGGAGAAATACGCGGCTTCAGATACCCTATTCATCCTTAGACTTTCACCCATCCCTTTTAGCACCTATTAACGATCCTTTTCTAAATAAATTACTATTGTGGCTGCCAAGGGATGTTTATTAAAAGAAATTCCATTATCTTTCTAAGTTTATTCTTGGTTTTCCCCTGTGAAGAAGAACATTTATGTGTTTATTTTTATCAATGTAGATTATTGGATTCCTCGTTTTTCCAATAGGTGATAATCCTTTACTCTCTATATTTATTATGATGTTCACAAGGTCCTAGATTGGCCAGTGGGAACCCTTTCAAATTATGTCCTGTGTGTTTTAGACATGTGTTAATATTCTTGAGCATTTTTCTACTTTTTGACGCAAGGTATTTGAGGCACATCTTGGATATTCTCTGCCTAAGTCCTGTAGCCAGCCATTTCTCTGAGGAGCCCTATTTCTTTTTAGTAGAGAAAGGTATTTAGAAAGCAAGATTTGGGTACTGAGGTTTTCATTGCTTCTGGGACATCGCTAGACCTGCTCAAAAGACAGCTGAGAAATAGATGCATGTGTATATACACACACGGGTTCCTAAGATTCCTATGTGCGTGTATACAAACCCAGAAGCCCCTGTGTGTATTTCTATGTCCAGCTAATGACATATTCGAGTCCCACGGGGACGTGTTCTACAACCATCTGCCTGGCTCAACCCTGACTCCCTGACTTCCTGTTCACGAGCCCTAGAAATCAAAGAGATTGTTACCTGCCTGGGTTTTCCCCACCCATATTTAAATGTTAAGTTGCTCACCGTGTAGTGTGCTGTCAGGGCTGTGTGATGTGGTGCATGTGGAATGTATAAGAAGAAGCGCTCAACAGTGAGGAGTCAGTGTCATCTTCATGGTAGCTCTAAAGCCCTCAGCTCTGTGACTGTGCCCTCAAGAGCCGAGAGCACAGGGCAGGACCTCTCTGTTCTGTGCTTCATTTTAGGGAGCTCTGGGGGACAAGAGCACAGGGCCAAGATCTAGGAGGAGGGTAGAACGGCTGCCCAGGAAACCAGAGAAGGTGGTGAGCTTGATAACGAGGAAATGACTGACATGTGGGCCCAGTGAAGAGAGCCGTCTCAAGCCTGTGTGGGCCCTGCGAGGTCTTCGTGCTGGTTTGGGGGGAAGGACATGAAAGGACCCTGAGTACATCCACTCACAAGCAGGGGCCAGGGTCATTGGACTTCTGCTTTAACCCTGTTAATGAGACACAATTTTAACATTCCTGGTAT